TAGGACGTTCTCTTCTTTTTTGTAATAACCAGAATTTGCACAGGTCCCACCTGCCTGATAAATATTGCACGGTCCCTAATGCCCGTACGATCATTGAAAGCTCCCAGCAGGCAAACCTTGTAGTCTTTTTCAGCAGTATGGCGGATTAAATCTGCGATTATTACATCGAAAATGTCAATTTGACTATAGTTACTATTTTCTGGCGGTATATACGCAGAACCAAAAAGTACATTCTTGCTGAACACATCATTTACAAGAAACCATAATACATTTTCACATGAACTATGCAGCACTTTTCATGTATATTTTTCCTTACAAATACAATAATCCCCCAAGATTTACATTTTGCATTTGAACGATTCAAAGGAGGTAATTGCTTTTAACTTTTCAATTTCAATGACATCATACTGATCCAATTTTGATTCACAAAAGCACAATACATCATAATTTGCACACAATTCCTCTAAATCTGGTTTGGAATTGATACCGCACACATTCAAAGACAATATTTTAATAACATGGATTTTACATTATCAGAGAATGACCCACTTGTATTTTCGACACTATTTCCATCAAGAATACTAGAAATTAGAAGCACAGAATTTTCCTCTGGGATTTGACTGGAATACTTTGACACAGAATTCATAATATCGATATTTTCATTACTAAATGATAAAGACACACTTGCACTTCCTTCATCGCAAAAACTAGAATTGACTGATATTTCACTACATTTCTGGGCTCTCGAGCCCGGCGCTACTAAAGGCCTTTCATGCCTGTACTAATCGTTAAGATCTCTCATTCCAAAAAGACTGTAATCCACGTTGTCCACGCCGATCTTGAAAAGTTCGCCAGGTGATTCGATTACAAACTTAAGAGTAGTTTTTCAAGCAATGAATTTTGTCGTCGCGAGTAAATACGGATTTCACTGTTTCCATCTTCTTAACAAACTGGAACAACTTGAATAGCATTGCAGTTAGATATCGATTTATTAACAGAGTTATCCGTCAAGGGTTTTTTGTTAGTGAACATGTTGACTTTTAACTCACGACTGGACCGTAACATAATTATACGGGGTTTACTGCTGGACCCTTGCCCTTTAGAGCCTATGCGGTGACAAATTACAATATCTTGAGTCTTTAACAGTTATTTCATGTCTTTACATAAGTCTTTGATAATCTCAATTAAATTCTAACCTTTCAGGTATGCCGAAAATTCTAATATTTTCTCGCCGGCTGTACTTATATTGGTCATCAATCGCATAACGATTAAGTCTCACAGATGCTGATAGTTTATCAATTTTCACATTTAGCGCTTCAGTGGTCTTCTTGACAATCCACGACGATAAAACACTTACGGCCGACAAAAGAAGTTTAATAACTTTAACTGCGGTAATTTCCGACTCGTTTAAACCCTGGTTTCCTTCGGTGGTTGCGCGGAGAAAATTTAGCAAGTCAGTTGTAGGGTCACCAGCTTCCATTTTATCACTAAGGTCAGAGCAGGCCTCTGTAAAATTGTTACAAACTTCGTTGAACGATTTCTTCTTGGGCGGCATTATTTGATTTTTGTTACAAAAGCTTAACGATAATAATCCTGAATTAAAGTCACTTTCCAACTGATAAGTATTGTCCTAGAAGTTCATTAATGATGTTTTCAATGTTTCATTTTCACATATGATGGCGATGATACGCGATTTAAATCCCATGTCCAATATTTTCGTCTGCCATTGTCATCAACCGGAGAGGTCCTTCGAATTACCTGTATAAATGTCTCAATGGTATCTTCCGCTTTTTCATATTTCATATAGCAATTTAAATTGGAGGCAAGAATTCCATGTGGGTAAAGAAAAAAATAAATTTACCCAGAACTCTCAAACTATTATAGAAATAAATTTGACACAGTTGTTTATTCCTGATCTTGATGTTTGTTCTCATGGCAGAGAGAAGGACGAAACAGTATTTCAAGTTATCCAATATAAAGTGAAATATAGAAGTATACAGGGTAGGAAGTTGATATTCGAATCAAAGCTTAAATTACATGTGAGAATTGAACAGATGTTGTCTGAATTTTTGGTACACGCCTGAGGACATCGTCTCTAGGGGGTAGAAAAAAAGAAAATTTGATTGCTTGGCTACCTATCAAACTAATTAACCAATGAGCAATGTGAAATTAAATTCAATATCACATTTTCTACTTTTAAAACAATACTACCCAAACTACACTTGCACGAGAATATTCAGCGTGTCGTGTCGGACATTTTTCATTTTTTAGAACGTCTGATCAAGTGATAAAATAAAGATATTAAGTTACAACATAACAATACATCACAAATGATAGATGTCAAATAGTTCACAGTATTTCACCTTTCAGGTTGCAATTAGTATTCTTGTAGGTTTCTATGAGTATTAACAGTGTCAATCTTTTTAAGCAGCGCTTGCAATGTTGTTTCCACACAAAAAGAGTCATGTTAGCTATACATATTTGCTGTTAGCATTACAGTAAAATATGATTAATTTGTTATTTCATTAACGTTCTCCTGATACCTCAGTTGTTTTCTGTGGCGAAAGTGCCACAATATAGTCCTCATTCCTACTGGATGTTGCCGCTTTTTTTATTCATCCCATTCAATCAAGTGGACGCCTATTGTGGAGAGTGATACACTTACTTTGCTGCACTACCTTTAATATGCCTGCGAGTCTGTCGGTAAAGTTTACATTTTTTTTTCTTATTATCTTTTTGACCTGCAATATAGAGTTAAGTGCTTTTCCTGTACTAATTTTTAGTAACTTTCAGATTATTACTTTGATTGAGATAAGAACAGGAGGCGGGTTGAGATCTCTAAAAACGTTTACCCAGTCACATGTTCATGTACCTGACCCTGGTTTAAAACCTCCCCAGTGGTTAAGTTTAGATGACAGTTCTTTCATAGTCTCTTTTGAATTCATTCTCAACTTTTCTAGACTCGATCTATTGTAAGCTTAAGAAATTGTATAGACAATACAGTATGATGCCCTCTACATGTTTCGTTGGTTGCAGTCTTACTGACACCCCTTTTCATTAATAAATATAAAATATAAAATTTTCTTTTTAAATTTTAAAAAAGAGTGAACATACATATATGTCTTATCTGTAAAGAGTACATCGAATTTGTACACAATACTTAGTATATATTTACTAAGAAAATTTCATCACATTACACGAGCAAATAAGCAACGAAAATGAGGTCACGGTCAAATGCCCGTGGATGACCATGTATACCTTAAAACAGTATGTAAACCAATAAACAATATATGTACATTGTCGGAAAATTGAAAAATTATTTGTATGAGCTTTTAAAACAGGACGAAAAGCGAGGCTCGCCGAGCTATTCTCCTGTTTCGCAGCGAGTACAAATAAATTTTATATATTCCGACATTGTAGATATATTGTTTTTATCCTGAAATTTACACTCAACACTTGAAACTTTAGTTGTTAAAATCTAAATCATTGTCTCTAATTTTTCAAAGAAATCGACATAGTTTAAACGCGGACCGCGAAGAGGACCCCAAAATGAACTGGTACGCAAAAAGAAATATCCACATTACCACTTGCTCAACATGGAAGAGGGGCAACAGGAGACTTCATTTGTACAAGTACAAATAAAGCAAAAATTTATTTGTGTACCTGTTATTTGTACAATAGTTGGCTGATTGCGGGATAAAAGCATTTACCTTCATATCATACCTGCTCTTTCAAACGTGTCTAACACGTTTTAGAAGGAGATAGCGTCTTGATTTGTTATCAGGATATAAAGTCCGTGTGACATGCCATAAACATCGTTTTAAAACTGAAGTGGTCAGGCTAAGATTTGTTTAATGAACTTTTTTTCTGCTAACCATTGCACTGTAAAATGATTGACATTAAGGTAATTGATAGATACTTCAAAGTACACGAATGGTCTTTCATGTTCGTTCACAAAAAGTTTTAAGCCAATAATATTTTTTATCCTGTTATCAGCCAACAAGTGTACAAATAACAGGTACACAAATAAAAATTTTGCTTTATTTGTACTTGTACAAATAAAATTTCCTGCGCTTCCATGTTGAGCAAACGGTAATGTGAACATTTCTTTTTGCCTGACAGTCCACTTTAGGGTCCTTTTCGCGGTCCGTATTTAAACTATGTCGATTTGGATTTTAACATCTAAACCTTAAAGTTGCGGAAGTAAATTACAGGATAAAAACAATATAATTATTACATTGTCGGAAAACATAAAATTTATTTGTACTCGCTATGAAAAATGAGAAAAGCTTTGCGAGCCACGCCTTTCGTCCTGTTTCTAAAGCTAATACAAATAAGTTTGATATTTTCCGACAGTGTTCATATATTGTATATTTATTTACATCGACAGAAATAAAATGCATATTCCTCATATCTTTGACATCTTTCCTAGCGTACAAGTCAATAAAAGCAATCTATCCAAGTTCCTTGAGCTACTTTCTTGTTGGTTGCTTTGTTGTATTTATTGTGAATATTAAACAATTTTTTTCTAATGACTGAACAATTCATTCTGTGCTATAGATTTATTTATTGGTAAAAAATTAAATAAGTTTAAAAAGATGCATTTTCAAATAGGGTAAAATAAATGTTGTGTTTTGCTCTTAAGGACGCCTGATATCCATTCTGCAAATTGATTAGTTTAAGCAGTTAGTTTTATTCCTATTTCTTGGTCAGGTCTTTTTCTATGAATTATAAACGTTTACTTTCTTTTCTATAGTAAGGTCCAAAATTATAGTTGTTGAACCTATTTCCTTGTTTGGTATCTTTCCCAAATTTGTTGTAACACGCAATAAGTTCTATTCCTGTATTTTCCAATGAATTTTGATTATTTACTTTCTTTTTACTATTATAAATGCAGTTATCTTCAGTTATCTTCGACCTTGTCAGTTCCTGGATCCACTCTCTTGTCATCTATACACAAAAACCCATCAGTTTTACAACAGTTTAAATTGACCAATCCATTCAGAATAAAGCTAATTTATTTTTACCCTTCCATCTAATTTCTCCTTCGAAAGAACAACATGTTCCTTGAAAACAATGTAATGCAATGGACGGTTAAGAAAATAGCATTATTAAAGTCATCAATATTTATATATAGCAATGTCAGATTAGCATTTAAGCCTATTAATCAGTGCATTGTCACTGATGCACTAACGATAAGATTTTATAATATTGTTTATATTTCTTCACCATGAATTTAGGTTATCTTGCATAAATGGTACAGTATGGAAGAAAATCCAGTGAGCTCACCATGCAAATCACAGAAGTATCATTGTATAACTCTTTTTGTCCAGATGCATGACACAAAAGTAAAATTGTTAATTTAGTCCTTTACATCACATTAAAAGTAAAGGGGATCATGTAATGGGGCAGAAATCATCAAACCAAATAGAATCTATTCTTTACTTAAGTAAAATACCTGGTTGCATAAACAAACATAAGGTCTCACATGTTACCTATTTGTCTTGTTACAATATCATTACTACTTTCATTCCCCTTACATTCTGCCATGAAGTTAATGAATGATTAATTACAAAACATTGATATTTTTTCTGACCAGAGTAAAGTTTTAAAAGATGACAATACAATTGATGCTTTTTAAGTCTGTGTCCAGTGTTAAAAGATGACAATACATATGATGCTATTTAAGTCCCAAACGTTTCTTTTCCTTTTCCTTTTTTCGTACAATGTCTATATTTCTATCTTTCCAGTTACTTTTTCTGAGCTTGATAGGTCTATTTCCAACGTATTTTCCTGAAAATATAAATTAAAAGAGTATTATCTGATTTCATTCATTCGACAAATAATCAAGGAGTTTGTTGTATTTCTTATGCCGTAACAATTAATTCAATAACTTTTTCGGTAGTACTTAATTGAATTTATCTTTCTATTCAACTATCCGATGTCAACATTAGAATAAATTGATTGTTTAAAATGCGTACGCAATTTAAACAGCAACACATTTCAAACACAAAATTACAAGCTGATAAAAATTACAAACCCATACAAAATCGGGAAGTTGGACATTCGAAAATTTGAACACAAGGTCGTGATAGCACCATTACCGATATAGGGGAAAAAACAACAACAATGGGATAGAGAAGTTACCATCACCAAAAAGCTCTCCTACAATCAGACAGTATGGGTAATCTCTACAAGTATACACCTTCATAACCACAATGAATGCTTTATATATTTATACCAATTTTACTGCATCAGATGCGCAAATATTCCTATAACGGAAAGTTTATATGTAAAGGATATAATTGCCCCGAAAATGAAGCCTAGCAAAATCATATGGATTTTTATGTTAAAATTAGTATTAGATATCTAACTTCTTAACGGTAGGATCTTTCAAACATCATGAATATTCCTAAGGTTTTAACTTTGAAAGATTGGACCAATAACTTTTAACCAAGCGCATGGCTTTATGGCAAAGTGTCCATACTGGATACTTTCATACATAAAGTTTCAAAGGTGCAATGTCATATTTTCTTCCAATTTACAAAGTTTCATGAACGTCTGATAAGGAATAAAGGTGTGACTAAAAAAAAAGAACACACCAAATAGTAACCAAAATTTGTAAGTTTAAAGAGGCATAACTCTTTTTAGTTCCACTAATACGGAGCATCATGCTGTAAGAACCACACAATGTACATAAACTCAGACATCTGATGAGGCATCTCCTTATTTTAATGTAGAAGTTGTGTCTTGAACTTCAAAGTGCATATTGAATAGTTTAAAAAGTTTCTGAACAAAAAACATCTCCATATTTGCAAATAGATGCGCTACTGTTATACATATCTTATCTTTAGGACATAACAATGTGCAAAGAGGAATACATATCTGCTGCAGCAAAAAGGGGTTGCATTCACAAAGTTCATAATGAAAAGTATCAAAAGTTTCTTAGTTAAGGGGGCATAATTCTGAAAACACTCAATGAAGGAAAAAACCATTCCCGGTTGCAAAGTTGAATCATCAAATCTGTAATTGTACAATGTTTGGTTTAAATTGGACAAAGGACTCAAACGTTATATTATTCAAACAGATTGATAAACAAGACAGACTGGATCATATATATCCGATAAATACAGTTATGATTGGAATACAAACTTGTAATTAATATCATTATAGGGATCACTTAATTTGATTTTGAACAGTACTACGTACAGAAGAAGAAGAAGAAGAAGATGTTTTATTTCCATTAAATGGGCTCACAAAGAGCATAATACAATGTAAGACATTAATAAGACAAAAAAAAAACAATAGTCAAGTATACATACAAAGAAAAGAAAACGCAGTTTGATCATGAATGAACTACACACCACATATAAATGTATACATATACATTTAACAGTGTTATACCTCCGTCTCAGGCACACCCCAACATAAACAAGCGAATGGAATTTAAGCTAAGAGAGCCCTTGTTTATACGGATAATTATGATTTTTTTATCATTCTGACTTGGTCTGGAAAAATAATCTACTTCGTTTTTCAGACCAAATAAGTCCTCAACAATACTCAACCACAAAGACTTTTCAAGATCAACATACGACTTTCAAAACTAGATGAGTGTCAAAACCATTCTGAAGGCTCTAAATAGCCTCTAGTCTAGACAGTTAAGGAACTTTAATAGAGAATACCCGAGGTCTTCCGTCAACACAAAATTCATCTAAAGAACAAAAGAAAACAAGTGTATTCTGACAAAATGTCAGGACATTCAAGCTGTATTAAAAGATACGAGAAAAGGTACATTTCTTACATATATATAAATGAATTTATCTTTGGTAAGAAGTGCCGAGTAATATCAGATAAAAAAGTGTCCGATTCTTTGATATATAAGAAGCAAAATTTATACTTACTTACATTGATTTTGTTTTCATTGCATTAAATTATAACTTAATGTTATGTGTTCCCATTTAGTTATGAACACTTATTGGTCGATACTATTGGCAAGATACATAAATTTCGTATCGAAACAGCCTCAAAATGTTACGGAATATGGTGTTTTTACTCATTATTTCAAGAGCATGAGCAAATGAATCCTATAATTTGAAAAGAATTGAAGTAAAATGAAAAAGATAACTAAAGCGCGAGGGAAAAAAAGAATTTAAATAAAGACAACAATTGACAAGGTTTCTTACTTACTTATTTCCTGTGTTGTAAACAAACTTTTTTGCTCTATTTCCTGTGTTTTAAACCGACCTTCTTTTTTTTTTGTGATTTTGAGGTTAAACAATTTTTTTCTTTTATCATTTTGAACTTCCTAAAAACACTAAATATATATCATATATTATTGTTGAAAATATAATAGAAGCAGCTACAATTTTTAATAATGATTCAGACAAAATTAATAATTTGTCAAAGAAATGGCTTGTGAACTGCAATGCCAAAAACACTGAAAGTATGATAATACACCCTGTCACCCTCAACTAAAAATGAATACTCAAGAGCAACAAATAATAAGTAAACACAACCATCTACAACAACGGAAACTGGAATGACCATATTGATTAGTTATTCACTAAATCATACAAAAGAATAAATATATTGCGGAAAACGAAAAATGTTCTTGATAGGTTAACTCTTGAAAAAATTACACATTATTTTGTTCGACCAATTCTCGAATATGCAGACGTCGTATGGGACTCTCAGAATCAGAATATGATTACTAAACTTGAGAAAATCCAGCTTGATTATGCGCGAATTGTCATGGGGTATTAAACTCAATAGTACTTATACGCTATATGATGAAACTCAAAAGGAAATATTGTCCGATAGACGACGCAACCACCATAAATTCTTTTTCATAAAATTTTGAATAACAAAACTCTTAGAGTATTTAAGAGACTGAATGCCAGATTCAGTGGGTAGTAGATATGATCATAACACATGACAACGAATTGATGTTGACTAATACTTCACTATTTAATATACTTAATTTAAATATATTAAGACAATGTGAATCTCTGTCATTGTACCAAAATCAAATTTGCACTAAAAATAGTAAAGACCTAATGTATCACAATGTAGATTATCGTTTTGGGCTCACTTAAGGATGGCCTCTAGTTCATTCAATTTTTTCACCTATTCTTTCGTAAATTAGTCGACTCCCCAAACTGTCGTTGCGGTGATTTAACAAAAATTCACTTCTTGTTATCTATATACACCGATTTGACATGAACTATTAGCTTCCGTTGCAGTCCATCCCGTCAAGGTTGACATCAAACCAAAATTTTGCTATTTAGCTCAATAAACTCTCAGACAGATACAAAAGCCTTTTATTTATAGCTTGCTACAGGAATACATTATTAAAACCAAACGTTTTAGTCTTTGATGTTAAAGATACATCATAAAAAAAAAACATTTCACATTGTATACATTGCAAAATGATTTCATTTCATTTGATTTTTTTTTTTATTTCAATTTCAATTGATTAAATCTAAACTAGAAATTAATTATCAGGATATCATTCAATAAAATAATCGATCCGCCTTTTTATCAATAAAACACTATTGCTACATAACTGATTAATTTTTGTGGAACAAAAGCGAAGACCAGTCTACAAAACTGTATAAGACAGACATGATATCAGGAAGAAAGAGCACATGAGGTTAATAGACCATAATGATCAGCTAAGACCACCAAGTTTGATTTTAATGGAGCTTTTATTATGTCTGATAATGTCCTAATCTACTATCCATTATGATATCTTCCCCTAGGATGCTACCCTAATCATCTGACATACAGCTGATTAAGTAGTTTCTAATACTACCTAACCGATGAATGTATAAGACTGGAAATTTAATTTGTAGAGCAATATTCATATGATCTGTTTAAAATAACTTTGGTTTCTGATTCTGATTATTGGAAATTACATGTAATAGTACCCACGAACTGATTAAATCGATCTTGTTGTCCAAGACAAATGTCAAAAAAGCAAAGATATTGTGCTGCCCTCCGACGCAACCTATACTTACTGTAACAGTGTCTACATTCGACGTATATTCCTAAATTAAATGTCGATTTACTCATATATTCGTTAATTACATGCGGATGAAAGGGCTTTCCAGTTATTGATTTTTTTTTCAATCTATTGTTGTTATGTTAAATGACAATTACTTTACTGTTACCAAATTTAAGAACTGAAAGCTCCATAATAATACTCTGTGGCAAATTGTTTTATCCTTAGTACAACTTAAAATGTCTTTGGTGTACGACAATTTTTAGGATTCCTTACGTTAACTCTTCCTTTTGTTTGAATAATTCTTCATAAATGTCTGTGTCATGACTTTCTGAAAAGTTTTTGTTAGTTAATAAGCGAAAAAAAGAATCAAATTTCTAACACTAGACAAGTTCCTCTTTGTTTTCAACTAACAAAAATAATTGAAGACTTATTTAGAATATTTTGTTCTCAAGAAAAAAAAATATACAAAAAAGACTCACGCCTGCTTAATTATCAGTTAAAGGTAAAGTGCATGTCAGACGGAAATGCACACATTAGAATGATTCTTTAGTCCAAACAAACAGTACTTATAGTGTTATATGCGGAGACTTATCGTTGCAGAGCACAATGAAAAGAGGTCACGGTCATGTGATACCTGACAGACAGACATGTACAGCTTACAGCGGTTATATATGCCAATGAAGATTAACATATTGAACCATGAAAATGAGGGCCAAAGACATGTTATAATAACATATGTAAGACGGATATTTCAGACCATGAGCCATTTTTTTTTTATAAAATATAG